CTGGCACTATAGTGCCCTGAGGGTGCCCCCACCCTCAGGGTCCCCCCCCCGCCCGGCTCTGGAAAGGGGAAAAGGGGTAAAACTTACCTTTTTCCAGCGATGGGCGGTGAGCTCTCCTCCTCTGATCCTCCTCCTCTCCTCCCCGTCGGCTGAATGCGCACGCGCGGCAAGAGCTGCGCGCGCATTCAGCCGGTTGCATAGGAAAGCATTATTAATGCTTTCCTATGGACGCTTGTGTGCTCTCACTGTTATTTTCACAGTGAGAATCACGCAAGCGCCTCTAGCGGCTGTCAATGAGACAGCCACTAGAGGCTTTGGGGGAAGGATTAACATTAAAAAAATGGGTTAACCCTAGCTGGACCTCAGCTTAATGAAGTGGTCTGGGTGCCTAGAGTGGTCCTTTAACAATGCTAAATTAAGTGTGTCCATGTAATTTTAAAACAGTGCGAGGTATTAAAAGACAAAAAACATTGCTAAGTCTTGGGTAAAATTTAAAGTAACATCGATGTATGCTCTAAACTTAAGTGTTAAAGCTAGAGGAAAATATCACCGGGCCCTATATAAATAATCTACAGCTACTAGTTGATTTAAGCAGATTAGTAAGAAAAGAAAAGAAAATAACCAACAATCAAGTTAATCGTATCTGCAGTAAGAGAGGCTGTTTGAAAGACAGGCTGTAGGTAACTTCAGCCTATGCCTATTGAGGGGAAGGCACTGCCACTAGAATGCTGTAGTCCAGCTTTGTCAACGGATTCACCTCACCGGTCCCACATTGCAAGGCTCTTCTGAAGGCAGGAGTAGAGGAGTAGAGAGTATAGGAGAGACCTAGGACGCTGCATGCTTGAGACTCCTCAGAGTAAGCTCTGTGCTGCGGTAGTGTGCCATTGCCATGTCGAGATGAGAGGGGGAGCATTCCACAGCAGTGCGGTCCCGTGCTCGGCGTCTGTTAGCTGCTTTCCGTGGCTGCGAGGCAGGGATGCCGAGTGTACTGGAGTGGGCTTTGGTAGTGAGTGGTCTCAGTGCAAGTGCCTGTGGTCCAGCAGAACCTCTCTGGCCATGTTTGACAGGTGGACGGCTGTGTGAAGGCTTTCGGCCTTGAGCTTGAGTAGCTGGAGGGGGTAGAGTGCTGGGAGGAAGCTCATGAGGTGGGCCACGGTGTGGCTTTGGCAAGGAAGGTTGTTGGACAGATGTGGGTCCTGGGTGTAGGGCTGCAATGCACACATCGTGTCCGCCATCTTGTATTGTCTCCGTGTGCCTTCTGCCCGATTAGG